CTGGAGTGCAATGGTGCGATCTTGGCTCACCGCAACCTCCGCCTCCTAGGTTCAGGCAATTCTCCTGCCTCAGCCTCCTGAGTAGCTGGGATTACAGGCACGCGCCACCATGCCCAGCTAATTTTTTTTGTATTTTTAGTAGAGACGGGGTTTCACCATGTTGACCAGGATGGTCTCGATCTCTTGACATCGTGATCCACCCGCCTCAGCCTCCCAAAGTGCTGGGATTACAGGCTTGAGCCACCGCGCCCGGCCTTTTTTTTTTTTTTTGAGATGGAGTCTCACTCTGTCACCCAAGCTGGAGTGCAGTGGCATGATCTTAGCTTACTGCAACCTTTGCCTCCCGGGTTCAATCAATTCTCCTGCCTCAGCCACCCGAGTGGCTGGGATTACAAGCATGTGCCACCAAACTCGGCTAATTTTTTTGTATTTTTAGTAGAGACAGGGTTTCACCCTATTGGCTAGGCTAGTCTCAAACTCCTGATTTTGTGATCCGCCTGCCTCAGCCTCCCAAAGTGTTAAGATTATAGGCTTTTTTTTTTGAGATGGAGTCTCACTCTGTCTCCCAGGCTGGAGTGATTCTCTGCCTCAGCCTCCTGAGTAGCTGGGACTACAGGTGCACACCATCACACTTGGCTAATTTTTTATTTTTATTTTTTTAGTGGAGACAGGGTTTTTCACCATGTTGGCCAGGCTGGTATCGAATTCCTGACCTCAAGTGACCCACCCACCTTGGCCTTTTCCCAAAGTGCTGGGATTCACCATGCCTAGCCTCTAATTTGCTTTTATTTACTGATGTCATCAGAGTACAACTGTCATAATTTTCATTGACATAGAAACATGTATTCTATATCTAGCCACTCCTCTCGAAGGTTTTCTCCTCTGGTAATTTCACAGTTGTCCCAGGATGACTTTTGCTTTGCCCATGAAAGAGCCATTAACTTTACTAGGATTATTTGTAACCTCACAAATTCATACTAAGTCTTGCCTTTATTTACAAAAAATTTTAACTTCCCAATTATGAAATTAATTACATGCTATTGTAGTTTTAAAAAATATGCCGGGAATGGTGGCTCACATCTGTAATCCCAGCACTTTGGGAGGCAGAAGAGGGCAGATCATGAGGTCAGGAGTTCAAGACCAGCCTGGATGGTAGAGAAACTGCAACTCTTGTGCATTACTGGTGGGAATGTAAAATGTCACAAAATTGAGACTTGGTGTTACCATATTATCCAGCAATTCCACTTGTGAGTATGTACACAAAAGAACTGAAAGCAGGGATTCAAAACAGGTATTTGTACACAAATGTTCATAGCAGGATGATTCACAGTAGCCAAAGGTGAAAACAACTCACATGTCCATCAATGAATGAATGTGATATACACATACAATGAAACATATTCAGCATTTAAAAAAAAGTTTGACACATGCTACAACATGGGTGAACCCTGAAGACATGACGCTGAGTGAAATAAGCCAGCCGCAAAAGGACAAATAGTGTATGACTGCTCTTACTTGAGGTATCTGGAGCAGTCAAATTCAGAGACAGAAAGTTAAAGAGTGGTTACCAGGGGCTAGGGAAGGGCAAAGGGGTAGTTAATGTTTAATAGGTAGTTTCAGTTTGGGATGATGAAAAAGTTTTGGAAATAGATGGTGACAGTTGCACAACAATATAAAGGTACTTAAATGCAAAGGTACTGAACAATGCAAAGGTACTTAAAGGTACTGAACTTACAAATGATGAACATGGTAAATTTTATGTTATGCATATTTTACCACAATAAAAATGAGTTGATATAAAGAAAAAAATAAACACAGATGATGTGGCTTGCTTAAATCAAGAACCTATCTCTATTAAAAAAACAAGCAAAACTGGCCAGGTACAGTGGCTCACACCTGTGATTCCAGCACTTTGGAAGGCCGAGGTGGGTGGATCACCTGAGGTCAGGAGTTTGAGATCCAACCTGGCCAATGTGATGAAACCCCATCTCTACCAAAAATACAAAAAATTCGCGGGGTGTGGTGGCATGCACCTGTAATCCCAGCTACTCAAGAGGCTAAGGCAGGAGAATCGCTTAACACAGGAGGCGGAGGTTGCAGTGAGCTGAGATCATGCCATTGCACTCCAGCCTGGGCAATAAGAGTGAAACTCTGTCTTGAAAGTAAATAAATAAATAAGCAAAATTAGCTGGGTGTGGTGGTATGCCCCTGTAGTCCCAGCTGTTTGGGAGACTGAGAAGGCAGGAGCACTTGAGCTCAGGCGGGCAAGGCTGTAGTGAGCTGCTGTGAATGCCACACTGCAGTCCAGTCTGGGGGATGCATGAAACCCTGTCTCAGAAAAAAAATTCTATTTCTGGCCCCCAAAATGTTTTTAAATCCTTTGTGATAAATATGCAGGTAAATAGAGAAGAAAATGTGGCATTTATTGAGAATCTATTTTGTATAAGTGTTTTAACTATTTAAGTACTTCATGTCACTTACTTCTAATACTGTGATGTAGGCACTAATCCAGATTGAGATTGGGAAGCTGGGTCCTGCTGTCAGTGAGTGAGTGGCCAGCCCACCCTCCACACCCGGCCTGTCCACTCCTGATTTTGTGTTTTCTGCAGAGAATTAATTTAGAAAAACACAAATTATGGATCAAGTGGTACCTAAATAACAGAAACAAATCTTGTCTTTCACAGAAGAACAGACACATCAAAGCCAGAAATAGAACTGAGCACTCATCTAGGACTGGGCTCTTCTGGTTTCCTCAGTCTTGAGCCAGCTGTAGTTACCATATTCCATATGAAAACAGATATAACACATCCTCACCATGGTACTTTGGAAAATACAGAAGAGCACAGACAGCAAAAACCTACCATCATAAAGCACCTCACCCCCTAGAAATAACCAGTTCACATTTAGGTAAATATATGCTCCATTTTTACTGTGCATACACATAAATGTAATGTATTTTAAAAATGAGCTTCATAATGTGTAGTTTTATCACTTGGTTTACAAGGTTTACAACTAAGTATATTGTGAAAATTTTCTCTTCTGCAACAGTTAAAAGAATTGCAAAGCTTGGAGGAAACATAATTTATTATGCAATCTTGTTGGGGACATTGAGGTATAATTTTTTTTCTAAGGAGACTTCATTCTTCTTACAATGCCTTTGGGAAAAAATGGGGAGTCCTTGTCTTACATAGCTTTCTATAGATGATGGAAACTTGCCCTTCCATTTAGCCTTTTAACTTGCTTCTCTACAGCCATCTAATCACCAATCAAGTAACCCGTTTCATGTTTTCCAACCTCTCTCCCCCACTGGCTCCCTCCTTCCTACCCAGTCTCCCTACACATATGCAGATGGACTTCCCTTCCTTCAGCACTCTGGTTCCTCCCCTTAAAGAGGCTTTCTTTCCTTTTGAAGAGACTATTTTAATTGATTTTGATCAACTCTACTCAAAACTGTATCCTAAGGTCCACATTAGGATTAGTCTTTAATAATCTGAAGAGATAATTCAATTGTTTAAAAGAACATATTAAGAAGGCCTTGGTAGAATGACTGTGTCAAGAAACACTGGACTTAGGCACAATGGAGATATGGCTGACTTTCTTTTGAAAAAAGAAGTCGATTTTTGGGGGGAGGCAGGGCAAAGAGATAAGAAGTCGTTGGTTCTGTAAGGAAATACTAGAGACCATTTTGGAAATGTATTCATTATTTTAAGACAACTAACAAATGATCATCTTTCAGATAGGACATTGTAGCAGCAGCCTTTACTGGTCATGAAATTTGCCTGCTATCTAAAATCGTATTTCTGGAAATAGGTCAATGTCAAGTAATAGTAACTGTATAGAAAGGCAGATGCCAGCTAGCATCAAAGGGGTACGTGCAGACGGTGGTAGTTCTGGAGTCCTGGAAGCCATGAGGTGCTCATCCATCACAAGGCCATCTGGAAGGCAGGGATGCTTGGTCATTAAAAGAAACCTCTCCGGCAGTTCATCCTGCTGCCCACACTCATGGCTTATCTGCTCGCCTACTATTAACCTGGCTCTTCTCGGGACACTCTCACACCTGAAACCAAGCCCAGTGGTGATACCTTCACTTGCAGGGATGAGCAGAACCTGGTTAGGCTCTGATTGGGCCCCATGTTCCAGGAAGAAAACTTGGTCCCTACACATCCAATCATCCAAGCCACACTTATAAAACACCTACCCTGAGCCTGACACCCAGGACGCAAATGGCAGACACAATCGCTGTCTGGATTGGGGAATTCCATCTAGTTCTCAGTGAAATGTTTGCTTTCACTGACCTCCTGGACTTGAATATTTACCACTTCTAGCATCTCCAGGGCCCAGAACTATGACAGGTCTCTGAACTTGGAGGACCCTAGAAACCTGGCTCAGGCTGGGGTAGGGAGAGGACCGTGGCCTCTTGTTTTCTCCAGGTACTGCCCTTCTTTTAATTGTTTTCCTCAAATCAGTAAAAATCAATAAAGGGAAAGGGTTCTGTGACCTGTCATTGGGAAGGGGAGTTGCCCGGGACTTTTAGGACCCTGGAAGTTTCTAAAGGACTAGCAAGGGTCCGAGCTTCTGATAGAATTTGCCATTGGGGTGGACTCTAATTGAGCTGCCCATCCTGGAGATGGTTTGGGTCCCCCTGCCCAAAGGAAAAGAACACCAGAGAAGATCTCCTGGTTAAACAAGAGACCAAGACTTGTTTACTTTCCTCAACAGAAGTTCAGACCATAAAATGTCAAATAGGCTTGAAATACCTCTCCATCTGAAAGGCAGTAGGACCAGACAGGTTTCCGAGGATGTAAATATCAAAGAGGCCAAGGCAACTATCTCATCAGGAGTCGCGACGCTTTTATAAGCAGAATTTTGGCTGCCAGGCTCTAGCAAGCCAAGAGGTACAGGCATAGCCTGTTAACTAAGCACCCCCCAAGGCAACTACGTAACCTCAAAAGGCAAAAGAAAGAGAACCTCCACTTACCGCAGCCAGGTAGGAAAGTCTGAGGGAAGCAGCGGAGCTGGCCGTGCCAGCATTTACACAGGGAACACTTCTTGGGAAGCCAGGTGTCATGGGGCACAGACCCACAGTTCCTGAGAATGAACAGGTAAGGCGATACCCTTGGTCTGAAATTTCACTTCCCTCTCCCTCTCCTCTCCACTGCTCCCCGCCCCTCTGAATGGCTTACTTTTTGCGCACATCGTGCTCACAGTTCCGTCCATAGAAGGAAGGTGGGCAGGCACAAAAGGACCCCAGCATGCAGGTGCCCCCATTCAGGCAGCAGGTTCTGTTTAGCTCCTTACCTGAAAGGTAAGAACAGATGACTGAGGGCGGAGAGCAGGTAGCGTGCAAGGGCAATTCCTGTAAGCGAAGGTCAACACAACACCATGTGTTTGTAAAACACATTGTAAACCTCAGAGAATAAGACTGCGCCTTTGAGCAGAGAAGTCATTTTCATGCATAGGGCCAGTGGTGGTTCTGGGGTTCTCCAGTGTTTAGTGGACTCAGGTGCGGAAAACCGCGCTGCAGGGAAGTCAAATACACAATCCCTGTCTCGCTTCCAAAACCAGAAGCAGTCCAGCACCTGCCCAGTCCCAGAACCAGGTGCCCCATTAGGTGAAAGAGTGTTGAAAAGATACTCAGGAGACACATGAAGGGCCAGGACAGAAGCATGGAAGCCAGGCGTTCTTACTGTGTTGTATCCCCACAGGCGGCACAAGCTTGGAAGACCGAGGGCGAATCGCAGGCTCCTCCTGGGGCCGAATGCCGTCATCTCTGAAGGCCAGGTCTCCCTGAGATGGACGCGCAAGCTCCTGATGGCCCAGCCCTTAACGACAAAATCAGTTCATGGAGTCTGTATTTCAGGCCACAGAAAAATTGAGAGCGATAAAAAGAACCAAAGGTCTCTCACCAGCAACTAATTCCAGTTCAAACGCTTTCGAAATGGCCATGATCCAAATCACACTAGGAAGAGGAAGTCAGACACGAGTTAGCAAAACAAAGGAAATAAAACCTTACAAGTTAACACCTGGGGCTTCTCATAGAAAGACCACACATCGCTAAAGAGAAAGTGCAGAGCACCAGCTTTCTTTTTTTAATGGCTAATTCATGTAACAAAGAAAAGCGTTGAAAAAAAAGTCACCAATATCCAAGTCTTTTAATACATATTATTATTTCTTAGGCTCTGTCCTCACATAGGTACACAATTTTAATTATGTTTTCTAGTTATGTACATATATGTCTTTTATCTTCTATTTCACATAATTTTTCTCCTGCATGCAGTTTTCATATAAGATTTAAAAATGGCTGCATGCCATTCCACGTTACCAATGAATTACATTTTACAAACTATTTTAACCGATCATTTAAAAGTTTTTCAGGTAAAAAACTTTTTTTTTTTTTTTTTGCTATTATCTTAATGGTTTTGCAAGTATTGAATCTGCCTATGCCTTTCATGTTTTTGGAAGATTTAAAATTTTGTTGTAGTACTGACCTTTGTTTATACAAGAATAAAGGAACACTATTTCATAGACAGTCATTAACGTAAAATTTAAATTAACATTAACACGAAAATAATAAGAGCCAATGGCAGCCTGGGCGCGGTGGTTCACAGCTGTAATCCCAGCACTTTGGGAGCCCAAGGTAGGTGGATCATAAAGTCGGGAGTTCGAGACCAGCCTGACCAACGTGGTGAAACCCTGTCTCTACTAAAAATACAAAAATTAGCACGCCACTGCACTCCAGTCTGGGCGACAGAGAGAGAGAGAGAGAGACTCCGTTTAAAAAAAAGAAAAGAAAGCCAATGGCAAAGTTAGAAGTAACTGTGTGAGATTCCAGGTCTTTCAGGAAAAATAGCAGTGCCGTTGGCAGCTCCTTTAAGGTTTAAGCAAGAGAAAAATCAAATGACAGGCGTAGAACATTATTTCCTAAGCTGGCAATCTCTAGCAATCAAAAAAAGTTCACATTCAAGATTAGCTCATACCTGGAAGAGAAGCGGGCCATCTTTCTGCAGTCCATAGCTTTTAACAATTAGGGGGAAGAAGGCGTTAGCATCGATTTAATTCAGAGTCATTGCCAAGACAGCCAAAGGAAAACACTCATCTCCTAAAGCAAAAATGGCAGCTTCAGAAGAAAACGAGAAATACGCGTTCCCCAGACGGTCGTAGCAGAAGCAGGAGCAAAGGTGACCAGGAGAAACTGGAGGGCCCTCGGCCTCGATGTTTTGACCTTGAGCTGAGTCGTCAACCCTTCCGGGGATTCACCTTCCTCAACAACAAACCCCTGTAGGGGCGGAGAGACCCCTCAGGTGGGCGGGAGGCCGGCCGGCATGACAATGCCCAACGCTGCGGGAAGAGGAGTCTTGTAAAACTGTGGTTAACTTGCCCTAAAATCTCTATCATTAGTGGCAGGCTAAAATGATCAGATGAACTCTCTTGGAAAAAAAGAAAAAGAAAAATCAATTTCTCTAATCAAGTTGGTGATTTCAGGTTGGAGGCGTGGCGGAAAGTCATTGCTTTAATTAGGAAAACCTGAAAATATATGGATCGCAAATCATTCGAGATTTTATTGCCAAACTTCACTTCCTGAAATTTGCTTCCACCTTTGTTTTTCCAAAAGAGCCCCTTACTCCCCCTGGGGGATACCTGGGTGGCCAAGAAAGGGGTGCTCTCCGCCCTAGGAGCTAGGTGTGTGTGTGGGAAGACTAGGAAGCTTGAAACTGAGATAGAAGTTCAGGGTCAGTAGGGGTTCTTTGGGAGCTCCAGACTTGAAGCGCAAATTCCAAGCGGACCTGAATTCCTGGAAGGACGCAGGAGCCGGCGCCAGGTGTCCGAGAGAGGGGAGGGGCCGCCAGGGGCGCAGTCGCTGGGGCACTGCAGTGGGGGTGCCGGCCTGTTTCAGAAAGTTCTAGAACCCCGGCAGTCCGGCCTAGGAGGCCATGCCAGCCCGTAATCACGGGAATTTATCTCAGCTTCCCAGCTCCCACAGTGCGGCCGCTTCCAGGCCCCGCCGTCCTGGCCCCAAGACACCGGGAATTACCCCTGGACTCTGATGTGCCGCTTGCAGCGGTGAACGTGTTTATGGGGTGAGTTCCACGAGGCTCCAGACGCCCCATAGGGAGAGGCGCGTCTGTGAGCCTGAGTCCCCTCACCTGACATCTCAGTCCTCCGGGTTATTTCAAGTATTATACGTCCGAAGTCGTTAGTCGTTTCTAAATCGCATTTAATTCCAGTTTCTAAATGAAAGCCTGACACTTAATATTGCCAGGCACGCAAATGTGAAGCTTTTATTACATCTGTTTCCATCCATCTCTGTTTATTGGATTTAGGCCACGGCAGAAAGAATTGGTAGCATCCGAGGCCATTTCAGCGTCAGGGTCTACCGTGTGAATGCCTCGGACCCACAGGTGCGGGGAAAAGGTGTTATTTACTTCTACAGTTGATCTTGGGAGACGCAAACGAAAATGAGTTTTACTGGGGGGAGTAGGGCCCCATCCAGTCAAGGGTGGGATGCAGCAGCAGTTTCAACTCCACAGCAGTTGACTATTTAAATCCAGCTGCACTTCGCCTCCTCCCTGTCTGGCCTTTTCAGGTGAAACGCTTCAGGTGACCTGCTGAGATTCACTGGGGACTGGGGAGCTTGGCCTGAAGCTCTAGGAGGCCGGAGGTGGGGGAGGGCTCTGCGGAGGAGAAGGCTCGCTGGGAGCTGCGAGGAGGTTTAAAGATGTGACTCAGTGCGGTCCTTTGTAAGGTAGCCTGTGCGCCACAGTCCTCACAGGTCCAAGGTGCTAAGTAGATAGTAGCGCCAACATTGTGAGTCTCACCTTACGGACACGACTAGTTCTATTTGAGGGATTTGAATGTTTTAGCTTCAGAGACTGGGCAGGCCCGTGGCAGAACTGGCAACAGAACACACCCCTGCGTTGCTATTTCCTTATCTAAAGGGGCTGTTGTGGAATTTTTAGAGCTGAAATTAGACTGCTGGAAATCACTGCATTTTCAGAGGAAGTAACTGAGGTCTCCAGTCTGGCGATGTTGGCATTACCCAGACCAGAACCCCAGCCCGCCAGGTTTTCAGCCACACAAAATCTCTTCTCTAAGGATCAGGCCCCCTTGAAGGGATCCCTGTTGCCCATAGGTACTGACTGCAGAGGAAGCCAAGTGGATCTCGGGTAGTCAGAGCCTGGGCCAGGTTTTGGGGTGGGGGTGGGAAGAAGGGGAAAGGAAGGGCTGTGGTGTTTAAGAGAGGTTAGATATTTGCTGTTGGGCTGGAGATTAAGGGCTGTTTAACAGGCATTTGATGTCTACTGCTGGGTTGCCAGTAGACTGGAGCTTGGCCCTGGAGAAACAGTTGTGAGAAGTGACCCCACTGTGAGGCTGGAGAGAAAGAACAGTAATTGTTGATTATAATTGTACTAACTGCAAAACATTGTTGCTGCCTCCAGGTGGGGGAATTGAGTGACTACCCTAGGATGGCCCCTGGTCACCTCTGCTTGGTCAGTGGCGTAGGGGCTCACGCCTGTAATCCAAGCACTTTGGAGGCCAAGGCGGGCGGATCACCTGAGGTCGGGAGTTCAAGACCAGCCTGACCAACATGGTGAAACCCCGTCTTTAAAAAAAAAAAAATGAAAAAAGAAAAAAAAAAAAAAAAAAGAAATTGGGCTGCTGGCCTGCCTCCAGGCCAGTGCATGCGGTGTGTCAAAAGGTCAGGCCCAGGACTGGGAAGTGCTGTGCAGTGGGGATTCCCCAGCTCATCCCTTACAAAAGGCAACCATAGCAGAAAGTGAAAAACAATGCTCTTGGTCCTGGCCATTTCAGTACTGCCCTTGAGATGTTGTGTATTGAAAACTGGGGCAGAATTGTGTTTAAAATCACACAAATAAGCATTTGACTTAAAACCATCCAAACAAGAATGATGGAATGAAAATCATCACAATCAAAGGACAGACGTCCAGTGTCTGCCTAAAATTCAAGGAAGAAAATAAACTTGGAGAATGGGGTCAATTTTAGCTCTCAAAAGCCAATTCGACCTTATTTAAATGGTTGACAACCCATAGAATCAAATTCCAACCCAAAAGTTGAAAGAACAGCCATTTCTATAGTACAATAGAGTATTTCAAGGTAAAAGCCTCCTTTTATCATGGGGCACTTACATCTTATCTCTGTCATTGTCCCCTTGAACATCCAGGCAGACCAGGAGATGGGAGAGAGCAGAAGGAGCCGGGGAATTCTGTCTGTATATGTACCCTCCAGCTGAGGAACGCCAGGGTCTCTGTAATCCCATCAAGTTTAGCACTCAACAGCTTCTGTTAACACCTGAGCCACACTCCTGGGAAGCATTACCCACCCAGTGTGTCCCTGCCGAACTTCATTAACAAGTTAATGGCTTTCTGTTTTCACTGATAAACTTACAAATTGCAACCTATTCTGTATTTGCACAGGTATCTGTTGGATGTAAAAGGATAGATTTCTGCATTCAAAAATCTGCAATTTCAGTGGGGAAGGCATGCTCAAGCGTGTCATTTTAGAGCCTCATTGTTACATAAATGGCATAAGAGAAATGGAGAAGGGCTTAAGAGAGGATTTCATTTCCTCTGTGTGCCATGGGGGCTGTATCATATTTCTTCCTATGTAGACATGTTTTACATTATTTTATCAATGAATAGACATGACATGTTTCTATGTTTTGTGGTGAACTTCTTTGTACGTGTATCTTGGTGAACGCTTGAGAGCATATTCCTCTTGTAAATTTCTAGCACTGGAATTGCTTGGTTAAAGGATGGATGTTGCCAAATTATTTTCGAAGAAGCCTGCACCAATCTCCTCTCCGCCCCTCCTCCCTCCCCCTTGAGTTGGTGTTGAGAGCTCATCTCCCAAGTACTTACCAGCTCTGGCTGCAGCAAGCGTCTTAAGTTTTGCTAATACAGTATGTGAAAAGTAGTACTTCATTGTTGCTTGGGTTTGCATTGTGTCCTGTGGTTATTGGGTGTTTGTATTTCATTTTCCACGACCTGGCTGGTCCTTACAGGGCACTTAAACTGGCTTCTTTGAGACTCAGCCCAAATGTCATTTGTCTGGGAAGTCCTTGAAGAGACCATTCTCCCTACTCCAGCTTCCAGCTGTGCTGAGAGCTCGGTCCTGGCACTCAGCGTCCCCACAGTCTATCTTGTCATCACTATATTGTAAACTGCAATTCTGGGCCACTTATTAAAGAGTATTTATCACATATAAGACAATAAGATAATTACTGAGAACCATGTGAGGCTATGGGAAATCCGATTTAGACTTTTAGACATAGCTATAATTTAGAATTCTTTTACACCAAAATCTTAATTTTTCCAATTAAATTCAACAAATATTTACTGATCAGCTGCCTGTGTTTAGCACGATGGGTAGACAGAGATTTCCAAGTAGGGCTCCTGCTCCCACCGCCCCTCCCCTGAGATAAGACAAGCCCAGTAATCTAAATGAAGTGCCATTTCAGTGTGATCACTAAACTGAGGGGGAGGAGGCAGTCACATCCTGACTTCCTCCCAACCAAGTCAAGGCCAATTGGCCCCAGCAGACAGATAGATGGACAGACAGACTCCCAGGAATTAGACTTGGGAGGCAAGCTGGGGTCCCACTTGGTTTTCATGACCTGGACAATCTCATTTCAAAGTGCATCTTACGTGGTGGATTTTGTATTTGATCACATACAGCTCTTAATGGCTATTTTTTTTTTTTTTTTGAGATGGAGTCTTGCTATGTTGCCCAGGCTGTAGTGCAGTGGGACCATCTTGGCTCACTGCAGCCTCTACCTCCTGGGTTCAAGTGATTCTTATGCCTCAGCCTCCAGAGTAGCTGGGATTAAAGGCACCTGCCACCATACCCTGCTATTTTTTTTTTTTTTTTTTGAGATGGAGTCTCATTCTTTTCTCCCAGGCTGAAGTGCAATGATGCAGTCTTGGCTCACTGTAACCTCCGTCGCCCAGGTTCAAATGATTCTCTTGCCTCAGCCTCCCAAGTAGCTGGTATTACAGGCACGCACCACTATGTTCAGCTAATTTTTGTATTTTTAGTAGAGACGGGGTTTCACCATGTTGGCCAGGATGGTCTCGATCTCTTGACCTTGTGATCTGCCCACCTCGGCCTCCCAAAGTGCTGGGATAAGAGATGTGAGCCACTGCGCCTGGTCTAGTGGTCTAGTTGCTTGTTAAACCCATCATTGAGATCTTAGTTTCAGCTGTATTTTTCTTGTGCAGAATTTTTAGTGTCTCTTTATTAAGGTTTTCAGTTCTATGCTGAAATTTTAAGTCAATTCTTTCATTTCTTTGAACATATAATATAGTTATTTTAAAGTCTGTAAATGACGATACTATCATCTTTATCCCTTACAGGTTTATTTCTCTGGTTTATTGTTTTTCTTGTTTTTTGATGTTATTGTTTTCTTGACCCTCCGTATTCCTAGTTAGCTTTGATTTAATGTTTGACATATTATATAAAAATCTGTATCTGAGTCTCTTGGTGCTATTTTCTTCCTCCAGAAAGTTTTTCTAACTAGCAATAGTCATTGACAAAGTCATCCTCTAGAGGGCGATGGTCAGTGTTATGTGAAGGCTGCCAGTGTACCAGATGGATATGAGGTCAGCTTTCAGGACACAGGTAACGT